GCGGCGAAGTGGCGGCGAAAGTGGGCGGCGAAAGTGGGCAGCGGAAGTGGGTGGCGAAAGTGGGTGGCGAAAGTGGGTGGCGAAAGTGGGCGGCGAAAGTGGGTGGCGAAAGTGGGTGGCGAAAGTGGGCGGCGAAAGTGGGCGGCGAAAGTGGGCGGCGCAAGTGGGCGGCGCAAGTGGGCGGCGAAACTGGGCGGCGAAAGTGGGCGGCGAAAGTGGGCGGCGAAAGTGGGCGGCGAAAGTGGGCGGCGAAAGTGGGTGGCGAACGTGGGCGGCGAAAGCGGGTGGCGAACGTGGGTGGCAAAAGTGGGCGGCGAAAGTGGGTGGCGAAGTTGTTTGTTGCTTGTCGTGAATAAGCCGTGCCTTGTCGTGTTTCAGTTTTCTCTTGTCGTGTTTCAGTTTTCCTAGTCGTGAGAACACCCGAGCTTTGCGCCATGCGCGCGCCGCCGAGGGCTTCCTGCTGGCCGCCCTCGACGGCCTGGCGGCGCCGCCCGCCCCCCCCCGCCCCCCCACGCCTCCCAGGGAGGCTGCCCCGCCCGCTGCTGCCTCTCGGCTGCGGCGGCGCCGCCCGCGCGGGCGACGAGGCGGGCGTGCGGCGGCGGGAGCGGCGGAGCTGTGCACGGCGATGGCGGTGCATGCGGAGTTTGGGGCTGCTTGAGCGGCGGCAGCAGCGGGGGTCGCCGACGTCGGCCCGGAGCTGCCGCCCAACGACTGGGCCGAGGACATCCCGATCGTCCAGAGGTTGTCGGCCATGGCGCGAGCGGCGCGGGATGGCGTAAGGGCGGGGACGAGGACAAGAGCGACATCCAGCCCGACGACTTGAAGGCGCGTGCGCGGGTGCGCATTGCGGACGGTCCGTGGGCTGGCCGCGAGTGCGCCATCACCCGTGTCGGAGCCGACTTCGCAGGCGTTAGGCCTGACGCCTTGGGCGAGGACAAGAGTGCAGGCCAGGTCGTGGACGCCTGCAACGCCTCCCTGCTGCTCGCCGAGCCCACGGCCGCGGCCGCGCCCGGCTCCGGCATCATTACGTAAGCCCATTATCGTTCTCATCTGAGCTCGCTGGCTCTCATAGTTACGTTCTGCCCTGAACCTCGAGGAGAAAACTCCTCCTCCTCCGCCTCCTCGTCCTCCTCCTCCTCCTCCTCGTCCTCGTCCTCGTCCTCCTCCTCCTCCTCCGCCTCCTCCTCATCCTCCTCCTCCTCCCTCCTCCTCCTCCTCCTCCTCCTCCTCCTCCTCCTCCTCCTCCTCCCCTCCTCCTCCTCCTCCTGCTTCTCCTCCTCACCTCTTCCTCCTCCTCCTCCTCCTCCTCCTCCTCCTCCTCCTCCTCCTCCTCCTCCTCCTCCTCCTGCTGCTGCTGCTGCTGCTGCTGGTCCTCCCCCCCGTTTACGAGCTCCTCTCTCAAAATTCCACCTGCTCCTGCTTCAACACCTCTCCTCCCGCGAGGGAGGCGGCGGCAGCGGCGCTTCTTCTCCGCCACGACGAGGCCATTGAACTTTGCTGCCACCAGCGCCTTCTGCGCCTGCGACTCGCGGCACTCGCCCCCGCCCTCCGGCGAGCCCCCCCGCGTTCAGACCGCCCTGGACCTTGAGGAGGACGGAGATTAGATTAGCCTCTGCGCTTCGCGTTCCCTCCACGATCACCTCAGGACATTGATCTCCCTCGCCAGCTTGGTGTGGCCTGGGACACATCCTTTCTCTTAAGCCTTCAAGTATTCGAGCCCCGTCGGAGCCTTGTTTTTGTTTGGAGAGGCGGGGAAAGGGAAGGTCCTTCGAGCCCCGTCGGAGCGCTGTAGGAAGCCGGAGCACTAGAGGCAGACGGAGCATGAGGACGGAGCACCGGGGGACGCAGCACCAGAGGACTGAGCACTAGGAGGGCGGAGGTCCCGAAGGGGCGCAGCACGAGGAGGACGGAGGACTGGAGGAGGAACTTCTGGAACTCCGTGCGGATTTCTCAGAGGTCGGCGCTGGACCCTTCCTGCCTGGCGCGAAGGGCGCGCCAGGATGCAGCGCCGGAGGCGCCGCCAGGGGGCCCAGCGCAGATCGAAGAAACCCGCGCGGAGCTCCAAATATGTATGTTTGTGTTTGTGCCATTGAAGGGGCCCCAGGACACACCAATATATACACATTTTCTCCGAAGGACACGGCAGGGCAGGCGCCAACGCCGCCCCCCGCGCACGCCGTGAGCGCCGCCCGACGAGGGCGGCGTGGGTGGTCCCTCAGGTTGGCCTCTTGTCAGCGCGACGCCGCCGTGGACGGTGATGAAGGGGCCCTGGGACACACAAATAAATACACACAAATCAAAGATTCCCCATATTTTCCAATTTTCTGGGTTTCTGTCTTCCCCCCCACATCTCATATTTTCCCATATGTTCCTGGGAGTCGACGATTAATTGTGTCTGTGTGTTTCTTCCCCTCCTGAGGTGAGGGCGTCGCTCTGCAGCCTGTCTCGGTGGAGAGGCGGAGGGGAGGAGAGGGAGGGAGGGGGAGGACGGACGAGGGACGAGAGGGTAATCAGGAAGGCACCCGGACGCTCACGGCACATCAGGATCTTGGAGCCCGGCAGACTCCTGCCTTCGACGAGCAGAAAACCTCCCCCTCGAGGCCCGACAGCACACACGGGCGACTCTGGAAAGCCTGGATCCAACAGTGTTGACGTCTCACTTTTGCGTCCGCCGCCCTCCGTCGCCCTTCTTCCGCCGGCGGACCCGCTGCTGTTTTACTTCCGACCGACGCGCACCACCCCTGATGAACGTACGGCACAAGAGGCCTCGTGTGGGGCTCTGAGCTGCCTGGTGGACGCCGCTGGCAAAGGCACCATGCTGAGGGAAAAAGCCCGACGAAGAGCGAGCACAGGCAGATGAGTATCTCTCTTTCGCGCATGGCATGAAGCGGGGCACCGCTAGCCGACAGTTCCTGGACCTGCTCTCAAAACGCTGCGTCGCCAACGCTACTCGCTCACTCACTATGTTGATCACCATGGCAAAGATCTCGCCATCATGCCTCAACCCCGCCCCTTCGCGACCGTTTGACTTCCGCCCCGATGCTCCCGTTTTACTTCCGTACGTAGCGCACGACCGCCCATGATCCGTCGGCGCAGAAAGTCTTGAGGAGGAGGAGGAGGAGAAGGAGGAGGAGGAGGAGGAGGGAGGAGGAGGAGGGGCAGGAGGAGGAGGAGGAGGAGGAGGGCGAGGTGGAGGAAGAGGACCAGTGCAATCCCAAGACTCGTCAACGAGATTGCAAAAAATCCCTCCCTCCAACCTCCCTCTTCATGGCCCCTACAAAGATTCATGCTCACTGAAAGAAATGCCGCGTCGGCAGACAACCGTTCGAAAATCCGGAACTGTGCCAGCACACCATTCCTGGGACTTCAACGCCGCGAATCAGCGTGACTGCTGCGTCTTCACGGTCTTGAAACGTACCAGAACACCATTCTTGAGACTTCAACACCGCTCATCAACGTGACTGTTGCGCCCAGATATTCCGACATCGTGCCAAAACACAATTTCTGGGACGTTAACCATGAGAATCCTTGAAGCAGCTGCAAGCTCTCAAGACTAATGTAGGCGGCCCTAAAGCGAGAGCCACATTTGAAAAAAGGCCGCCATCCATCAGCGAAACTCTTGCAAGAGTTTGAAACGAATGTGCGCGGCGTTAAAACGAGAACCACATTTTGGAAACGGCCCGCCCTCCATCCGTGAAACCGTTGTAAACTTAAAATGACTGTGCGCGGCGCGAGGGCGAGAGCTACACTGTGAAAAAGGGCCGCCCTCCGTCCGTGAAACTGCTGCAAAGACTAACCTTCAGGATCATACGTGGTGAAGAAATCTCAAGCACAACGCCCGGCCCGCTCCTTCGACAGGCCTCGGGGTGCGACAAGGAAGAACTACTTGTGAGGAGGAGGGATGGAGGAGGAAGAGCACTCGACTCGCCTCGGATCACTACGAGCAGCACCCAGGATTGATCGGGCCGTCCTTTGCACAAGGGCTGCACTGAGGCAACAGCGCCTGCGACAGGAAGGCGGGGCCAACCGCATACAAACAGTGTGGCGGAGGACGAGGAGGATAAGCCAGACGACGACGACGACGACGACGACGACGACGACGACGACGACGACGACGACGACGACGGACGACGACGACGACGACGACGACGGACGACGACGGACGACGACGACGACGGACGACGAGGGAGGCCCCCAGCGGGCGCCTTGTAGACCGTCTTCTCGATGTAGTGCAGGGTGCCGATCGGCGCCTTGCGCGGGAGCCCAAGGAGGGGGGAGGGCCCGGAGGAGGCGCGCCGCGCCGCGGCCGTGGTGTCAACCTGGGCCTCGCCCTCGCGCCCGCCCTCCTCGCCGCGGTCGCCCCCCGCTGGCTCGCCGGCCGTCGCCGCGCCCGCCCGCGCCGCCGCCGCCGCCGCTGTGCTCAAGCCGCAGTCGCCGCGCGCCCTCGTCGCCCCGCCGCCGTGCGGCGATGCCGCCGTCGGGCGGCGCGGCGGGGGCCTTGCTCGCAGCCATGCCCAGGGCCACCGGCGCAGCGCGGGGACGGAGCTCCTGCCGCCACCCCCGCTGGGCACGTCGTCGTCGTCACCGTTCGCTCCCGCCCTCGTCTGCCGTCGCCGTCGTCGCTCGAGGGCTCGTGGTCTCGAGGGATCCAGGCTCGAGGAGGCGGGAAGCTCTGGCCAGGCCGGAGGGGAGGGGGCGGTCTGGGCTTGGGCCGGGCTTCTCCTCGAAGGGGGGGATCCCTAACCAACCCTGTAGAGCTGCCTCCCGTTTGATCTGCTTAGGGCTCCCTGTCCAACGTTCGACGCTTTTCATCCGTGACTGCCTTCCGACGTGTTTGGGGCGTTTTCGTCCTCTTCTCCGCCCTTCCCTCCTCCTCCTCCTCCTCCTCCTCCTCCTCCTTCTCATCATCATCATCATCATCATCATCATCAACATCATCATCATCCTCTTCCTCCTCCTCCTCCTCCTCCTCGTCCTCCTCCTCCTCCTCCCCTCCTCCTCCGCTCCTCCTCCTCCCTCCTCCTCCTCCTCCTCCTCCTCCTCCTCCTCCTCCTCCTCCTCCTCCTCCTCCTCCTCCTCCTCCTCCTCCTCCTCCTACATTCTTCCTTTTTCTTAAGCATAACTCCTCCCTGTCGCACCCCGAGCCCAGTCGAAGGGCGGCCTGGGCGTTTCGCCCGAGAAATCCCTGCCATGTATGACCCTGCAGCTTAGAAACTGGCAACGGTTCACCATGGCGCCGCGCACACTCGTCTTGACACCTTGCAAGAACTTCATGGATGGAGGGCAAGTCGTTTTCGAAATGCGGCTCCCCCCTCGCCCCGCGCACTTCCTTACCATTCATGATCCTGCAGCTAAGAAATGGCAACAGTATCAAAGATGGATTGCGGGTCGTTTTCAAAGTGTGGCTCTCACCTTCGCGCCGCGCACATCCGTTTGAGAAATACGCAACAGTTTCACAGATAGAGGGCGTGACGCTTCCAAAATGTGGCTCTCGCCTTTACACCGCGCACATTTGCCTTAAACGATTGCCAAGAGCTTAACGGATTGAGGGCGGGTCGTTTTCAAAATGTGGCTCTCGCCTTAGCGCCGCGCACATTCGGCGTACACATTTCCAAGAGACTCACGGAATATCATGGTCAACGTACCAGAACTGATGTTTCGGAACGATTCGAGATTGTCAGGGCGTAACAGTTACGTTGATTCGCTGTGTTGAAGTCCCAGGAATGGTGCTATGGCACAATTCAGCATCGCTAAGACGCAACAGTCAAGCTGATTCGTGAGGTTGGAGTCCCGAGTGCTTTGGCACGCTTCAAGATCTTCAGACGGTCGTCTCCCAACGGGGCACTTCCCTCAGTGGAAATGAATCCTTCTAGGGGCCTATGAAAGAGGGAGCTGGGAGGGAGGGTTGATTCCAACATCGCTGATGAGTCTTAGGTTTACACTGGTCCTCCTCATCCTCCTCCTCCTCATCCTCCTCCTCATCATCACCATCATCTTCCTGCCCCTCCCCCTCCCCCTCCTCGTCCTCCTCCTCGTCCTCCTCCTCCCCATCCTCATCCTGCTCCTCCTCCAGCTCCTCCTCCCCCTCCGCCTCCTCGTCCTCCTCCTCCTCCTCCTTCTCCTCCTCCTGTCGTTCTCCTTATAAATTCGCCGGCCCAACGGGCCAGGGCGTGCTAAGATCTCCGGTAACTGGTTAACAGTATTAACAGTATTTCTAGTTCGCGCGCGCGGGGCGGCCCCTGGGGGTCCCCCGGCGAAAAGTACCCCGACCAACGCCCGGTCGCCGCCCGACCGCCGCCCGACCAAGTCTACTCAGAGATGGTTTTCCTTCTGGGTGCGGCCTCTCAGGCTCCCCAGAGCGCGCTCAGAGTGCCCCAAGAGGCCCCCAAGACTGCCCAAGAGGCCCCCGAGACGCCCAAAGAGCGCTCGAAGACGCCGAAGATGACCCCAAGACGGCCCAAAAGGCCCCCAAGACAGCCCAAGAGGCCTCCAAGACGCCCCAAGAGCCTTCCAAGAGGCCTCCGAAGAGAGCCCCAAGAGGCCAAAATCGTTGATTGTCATTGGTTTTTTCGATGTTTTTTGTGTTCTGGCTTTTTCGGCTTCCGGACGCTCCAAGACGGCCCAAGAGGCCCCCAAGACCGCTCCAAGACGGCCCACGAAGCTCCCAAGACGGCGCCGAAACGACCCAAGAGAGCCCTCAAGACGGCCCAAGTGCCGCCCAAGACGGACCAAGAGGCCCCAAGACGGGCCCAAGAGGGACTCAGGAGGGATACCGAGAACTCAAAAATGGAGCCCTCCGTCCCAGAAGGCGCCCAGGAGGTCCCAAAGAGGCCCCAAGAGGCCTCCAAGAGGCCCCAAGATGTCGCCAAGAGGCCCCAGGAGACTCCCAGGAGGCCCAAAAGAAGCCCCAGAAGGCTTCAAACATGTCTCCCAGGCGCCCCCGAACGGCCTCTCAACAGACCCCAAGAGGCCCCCCAAAGAAGCATCTTGACGACGACTCTATTTCGCCCCATCGAGAGACGACCCCCAGGGAACTGCTTCACCATCAAAACTCCCCACGCAACGCGTCCGAACGACACCCGCCCCCAAGAGCGCAACATGGGCAACGAACACACAGACAAAAACCAGCGATGCCATATCACGGGCCGGCGGAATGAGCGAAGCGATTCAATAACCCCTTCCTGTCGCACCCCGAAGCCGGTCGATAGGGCGGGCTGGGCGTTTCGCCTGAGACTTCCTCACAATTGTTGGCCCTGAAGCTTCCAAAGTGGCAACAGCTTCACAGATGGAGGGCGGGTCTTTTTCAAAATGTGGTTTTCGACTTGGCGCCGCGCACATTCGTTTGAGAAATTTGCAAGAGCTTCACGGATGGAGGGCGTGTCGGTTTCAAACTGTGGCTCTCGCCTTAGCGCCGCGTACACTCGTCTTAATCATTTGCAAGAGTTTCACGGATTGAAGGCGGGGCGTTTTCAAAATGTGGCTCTCACCTTGGCGCCACACACACACTCGTCCTAACCAGTTGTAAGAGTTTCACGGAATCTCATGGTCAACGTACCACTACTGATGGTTTGGAAGCACTCCATACTGTGACGGCACAATAATTACGTTGATTCGCGCTGTTGAAGTCCCAGGGATGGCGCTCTGGCACAATCCGGCATCGTCAAGACGCAAAAATTGAGTTGATTCGCGGCGTTGGAGTCCCGAGAATGGTGCTTTGGCACGCTTCAGGGTCTTCAAACGCTTGTCTTCAGGGGCCTATTAAGAGGGAGCCTGGAAGGAGGGTTTATTCCAACATCTCTGCTGACTCTTGAGTTTACACTGGTCGTCGTCCTCCTCCTCCTCCTCCTCCTCCTCCTCCTCCTCGTCCTCCTCCTCCTCCTCCTCTTCATCTTCCTCTCCCTCCTCCTCCTCCTTCTCCTCCTCCTCCTCCTCCTCCTCCTCCTCCTCCCCCTCCCCCCCCCTCTCCGGCGCGGAGGCCGCGGCGCTCGCCGCCCTCGCCGCGTGAAAAAGGCGCGGGGGCCGCCTGCCGCCCCGGGGGAGCCTCGGGCCAAAACTGCCCCAGCAAGCGCGGCCCGCGCGCGCCGGCCGCCCGCCGGCCCGCCGTCGGCCCTCGGCGGCGGCGCGGAGGCCTTCGGCGGCGGCACGGAGGCCTTCGGCGGCGGCGCGGAGGCCTTCGGCGGCGGCACGGAGGTGGCTCGACGCAGGCCCCCTGAGGGCGCGGCCCTCGGCGGCCCCTGGAGGCCTTCGGCGGCCTGCCTGCCAGGGCGCGTCGTCGCCGTCGCCGTCGCGGTCGTCTCGTCGGCGTCGAGCGTCGAGCGTCGATCGAAGAGGATAAAGGCTTCTGGAAGGGCTCGGCTCTGTCTGGGCCCGCGGAAGCCTTCCAGCTTGGAGACCTCCACAAGGCCGCCAGAGGGTGCCGTCGTAGGCGCCGTCGCCGTCACCCTCCTCCTCCTCCTCTTCCTCCTCCTCCTCCTCCTCCTCCTCCTCCTCCTCCTCCTCCTCCTCTTCCTCCTCCTCCTCCTCCGTCTCCTCCTCCTCCTCCTCCTCCTCCTCCTCCTCCTCCTCCTCCTCCTCCTCCCCCATCCTCTTCCATTCCTATTCCTTACACTATCGCACCCCGAGGCCAGTCGAAAGGGCGGGTCGGGCATTTGGCCTGAGACTTCCTTACTATGAATGGTCGTGACGAAAAGATTTGCAACAATTCTACGGATTGAGGGCGGCCCACTTTCAAAATGCGGTTCGCGCCACAGTGCCGCGCTCGCTCGATTCAAAAATATGCAAGACGTTCCACGAATCAACGGCGGGTCGCTTGCGCCGCGCACACTCGTCTTAACAGTTTGCAAGACGTTCACGAATGGAGGGCAAGGTCGTTTTCAAAATGTGGCTATCGCCTTGGCGCCGCGCACATTCGGCTTAAGACCTGCAAGAGCCTCACGGATGGAGGGCAGTTCTGTTTCAAAATGTGGTTCTCGCCTTAGCGCCGCGTTCATCCTTACAAGTTTGCCAGAGCGTCACGGATGGAGGGCTGTCCATTTTCGACATGTGGACCTCGCCTTAGCGCCGCGCACATTCGTCTTAATGGTTTGCAACAGTTTCAAGGATTCTCATGGTTAACGCCCCAGATATGTGGCGCTTTGGCACGATGTCGGAATGTCAGGGCGCAACAGTCACTTAGATTCGTGGTGTTGACGTCCCAGAAATGGTGTTCTGGCACGCTCCAAGATCGTCAAGACACAAAGGTAACGGTGACTCGCAGCGTTAAAGTCCCAGGAATGGTGTTCAGGCACACTTCCACAAATTCATTTGTTCTTCAATGGGGCACTTCCATCAATGAAAATGAACCCGTGTAGGGGCCTATGAAGACGGAGTCTGGAGGGAGGCGATACTGCAATATCGCTGATATGTAAGTCTTGAATTTACAATGGTCCCCCTCCTCTTCCTCCACCGCTTCCCCCTCCTCCTCCTCCTCCTCCTCCTCCTCCTCCTCCGCATCATCATCATCATCATCATCATCATCATCATCATCATCACCATCATCATCATCATCATCATCAACAACATCATCAGCAGCAGCATCATCAGAATCATCAGCATCAGCATCATCAACAGCACCAGCATCATCATCATCAGCATCATCATCACCACCATCACCATCACCATTACCATCATCATCATCACCACCATCATCATCATCATCATCATCATCATCATCATCATCATCATCATCATGACCATCATCATCATCGTCATCGTTATCGTCAGCATCAGCATCAGCATCCTCATCATCCTCATCATCATCAGCAGCATCATCATGATCATCATCATCATCATCATCCAACTCCTCCTCATTCTCCGACTCCTCCTCCTCCTCCTCCTCCTCCTCCTCCTCCTCCTCCTCCTCCCCCTCCTCCTGCTCCACCACCACCTCCTCCTCCTCCTCCTTCCCTTCCTCCTCCTACTTGTTCTCCTCCTCCTCCTCCTCCTCCTCCTCCTCCTCCTGCTCCTCCTCCATTCCTTCTCCGTATAGATAACTCCTCACTGTCGCACCCCGAAGCCAGCTTTCAGGGCGATCCGGGCGTTCCGCCTGAGACTTCCTCACCGCTTATGACTCTGAAGCTTAAAAAAGTGACAACCGCTTCACATATGGAGGGCGGTCGTTTCCAAAATGTGGCTCTGGCCTTGGCGCCGCGCACATATATTTTCAAAATGTGCAAGAGTCTCACGGATTGAAGGCGGTTCCTATTCAAAATGTGACTCGCGCCTTTGCGCCGCGCACTTTCTTTGTAAAAAATGCAAGAGCTTCACAAGTTGAGGGCGGGCCGTTTTCAAAATGTGGCTCTCGCCTTTGCGCCGCGCACATTCGTTTTCAAAATTTGCAAGAGTCTCACGGGTTGAGGGCGGGTCGTTTTCAGAGTGTGACTCTCGCCTGAGCGCGGCGCACATTCGTCTTAAAATTGTGCAAGAGCTTCACGGATTGAGGGCAATTCCTATTCAAAATGTGGCTCTCGCCTTTGCGCCGCGCACTTTCTTTGTTAAAAGTGCAAGAGTTTCACAGATTGAGGGCGGGCCGTTTTCAAAATATGGCTCTCGCCTTTGCGCCGCGCACATTCTTTGTAAAAAGTGCAAGAATTTCACAGATTGAGGGCGGGTCGTTTTCAAAGTGTGACTCTCGCCTGAGCGCGGCGCACATTCGTTATAAAATTGTGCAAGAGCTTCACGGATTGAGGGCGGTTCCTATTCAAAATGTGGCTCTCGCCTTTTCGCCGCTTATAAAAAAATACAAGAGCTTCACGGATTGAGGGCGGGCCGTCTTCAAAATGTGGCTCTCGCCTCAGCGCCGCGCACATATTTTTTTTTAAGTTTGCAAGGGTTCACTGACTCCCATGATCAACGTTCCGAAAATAGCGTTTTGGAAGGATTCGGGATTATGCGGGTGCAACAGTCATGTTGATTCGCGGTGTTGAAATCCCGAAAATGGCGTTATGGCACGATTCCGGATCGCCAGAAAGCAGCAGTCAGGTTGATACGTGGCGTGGAAATCCCAAGAACAATGTTTTGGCATGCTTCAGGATCTTCAAACGGTTGTCTTCCAACGAGGCAGTTCCCTCAATGGAAATGAACCGTTGTAGGGGCCTAGGAAGAGGGAGCTTGGATGGCGGGTTAATTCCACCATCGTTGATGACTATTGGGTTTACACTGGTCCTCCTGCTCCTCCTTCGCCTCCTCCTCCTCCTCCTCCTCCTTCCCCTCCTCCTCCCCCCCTCCTCCTCCTCCTCCTCCTCCTCCTCCTCCTCCTCCTCCTGCTCCTCCTCCTCCCCCGCCTCCTCTTCCTCCTCCACCTCCCCCTCACGCCCGCCCTGGTAGGGAGGGACCTTCCTTCCAGGCTCCCAAGGCCGCGCCAGCGGCCCCGCGTGCGGTGCGGAACAGGTAGGCAACGGGCGCGCGCCGCGCTCGCGGCCGCCGGCGAGCAGCCGGCGGCAACCAGACGAGGCCAAGGAGAGGAAGAGAAGGCGACGGCAGCGGCGGCGGCGGCGGCGACACAACGGCAGCGGCGGCAGCGGCAGCGGCGGCGGGGGCGCGGGCGGGGGCGGCGGCGACGAGAGGAGGGCAACGTCAGATAACGAAAGTCCACGACAGCGACATCATAGAATGACTACGTACCAAGCCACCCCGACCCAACTCGAAGTCACCTTTGGGGTTGTCGATTTCCAGTGGGGGGGCACTCCAGAACATGAGGACGCACGATGGAACCCGTACAACACCAACCCGAAATTCGGGATTGTCTAGAACCTTCGGGTTGGGTGTGGGTGGCCTAGTAAGTGGTGGCAAAAGACGACGAAGCGAACAACGATGACGACGACGACGACGACGACGACGACGACGACGACGACGACGACGACGACGACGACGACGACGACGACGACGACGACGACGACGGCGGCGGCGGCGGCGGCGGCGGCGGCGGCGGCGGCGGCGGCGGTGGAGATCGCGGCGGCGCGTGAGGGCGTAGCCGCTCGCGGTCAGTTCCGCTCGAGGATGGGCCTAGGCGCCGCCTGGGGGTCCGCCTCCCGCACCCGGGGCGACTGGACGTCGATCCTGGGCCCCGAGAGGAAGGGGCAGGAGCGGGAGCAGCACACGCCTCCTCCTCCACCTCCTCTTCCTGCTCCTTTTCTTCCTCCCCCTCCTCTTCTTCCACCTCCTCCTCCTCCTGCTGTTCCTCCTCCTCCTTTTCCTCCTCCTCCTCCTCCTCGTCCTCCTCCTCCTCCTCTTCCTCCTACTCCTCCTCCTCCTCCCCTTCCTCCTCCTCCTCCTCCTCCTCCTTCCTCCTCCTCCTCCTCCTCCTCCTCCTCCTCCTGCTCCTGCTCATGCTCCTCCTCCTGCTCCTGCTCCTGCTCATGCTCCTCCTCCTCCTTCTTCTCCTCTTCCTCCTCCTCCTCCTACTCCTCCTCCTCCTCTTCCTAATATTATTATCAGTCGCATTATTATGTGCATCATGATTATTATTTTCATACCGGAGAAATAGCAATCATAATATGTCTAGGGCTATAGGGCTATGGGGCCATAGGGCTACAGGGCTATAGGGCTATAATGTTATGCGGCTATAGGGCTATAGGGCTATAGGGCTAATGGGTATAGAGCTGTAAGGCTAGAAGGCTATAAGGCTATAAGGCTATGGGGCTATAGGGCTATTGGGCTATAGTGCCATTGGGCAATTTGGGCTATAGGACTATAGGGATAAAGGGCTATAGGGCTATAGGGCGATAAGGCTATAGGGCTATTGGGTTACAGGTCTCTAGAGCTACGGGGCGCCCTGGCACGCGGCGGGCACCTGGGCACCCGGGCACCCGGGCGTGCCGCCGAAATCAGCGCCATACCTAACCTAACGATATGATTCCGCGAGAACCCCTACAGACGCAATCTCTGAGTGGGGAATAATTCTTATGAGTGGCATTAGTATTACAATATTATCTGTCTTAGTCTGCTTACGAATATAATTATCCTTATCATTACAAAAACATATCCTTGTGATTCGCATTCGCATTCTGAGTCTTAGTAGTATGAATAATTTTCGTAGTATTAGTCTTCTTGAAATTACAAGTAGTCGTAGTATGCCTGGTATTGTAACTATTATTCCAAGTCTTATGACTAGTGTAGCCTTGCTCGTATTACTATAGTTCCCTCATTCGAACATTATTAATAGTGTAACTATGTGTTTCCAGAGTCTTATTCGCATTATTATTCGTATGTCTTATTCGTTGTGTGAAGATTGCTAGTATACTTAATACGTTTAGAATTATTACTTCGTCTTAGATTTCTTATTCTTATGATTGGTATTATGAATATTATTGTAAGTATTTCCCAGTACAACTACTATTACTCGTTTTGGACATGTTATTTCTATCATTCGTACTATGATTCAGACTCTTGTTAATATTATTACTCATGTTGTGGTTCGTGGTATTGCTATTATTATAGTCATCTTATTCTTACTATTAAGAATAATCAGAATCATAGTAGTATCATGATTGCCTCCTCTTCCTCCTCATCCTCCTCTACTCCTCCTCCTCTTCCCCCATATTTTCCTCCTCCCCCTCCTCCTCCTCTACTCCTCCTCCGCTTCCTCCTTCTCCTCTTCCTCCTCCTCCTCCTCCTCCTCCTTCTCCTCCTTCTCCTCCTCCTCCTCCTGCTGATGCCGTTGACTCGCGGCATCGCGCCCCCAGGCGGCGGCCCAGCGTCGGATCCCCCAACCAAAGTACGTTCTGGGGCTGCGGACTCGGCGAGCGCGCGAGTCCATGGCCGGCAAGCGCTTGGGCCAGAGCGACACAATGTGCAGACCACGGAGCCCGATGCCCCAGCCAAGATACACATCTGTGGCCAGCAGCGCAGGCGGACGCCAACGCGTTCCGAGGCCCGGCGGGCCGCACCGGGACTAGAGAACACAAGAGCTACAGGCGGAAAGAGGAGGCGGCGGCTTAGGAGGAACGCGGGAGGAGGCCTCAGGCGTAGAGAACCGTCGCCCCGAGGAGTGCGCAAGTGGCCTCAGGCACAAGGAATCGGTGTACGTATTGGAAGGCGTGCGGCTAATCCGAACTGCCGAAGTGGGGAAGCGCTGATCCCATAGGAGAGGCGAGCCGTCATCCACTGGGCGGAAAGCAAAATGCCAAATCACACAGAGGGGGGGAGGCCAACCCTTCGGGGAACAAAGAATGGTATAAACATAGGTTAGCAAGAGTGAACCCCAGACAAGTGTGTTTCTAGCAATCTACATTGTTCAATCGATGTGCTGCAATCTATGTGGTGCGGTCTCTGTGGTGCAATCAATGTTGTGCAATCGGGTGCGTGCCATCTGTGTTGTGAAATCTATGGTTTGCAATATGTCCAGTGCGATTTATGTTGTGCAAAGTATGTATATTGTGCATTTAACGATGTGCACTGTACATATATATACATATATATATATATACATACGAGGTGCTAAATATCCAGGGCAACCTATACGGTACAACCCGTGTTGTGAAATAGGTGTGGAGCTATACATTTGTTATGCAACCTATGTTGTGCAACATGCTTTATACAACATACGCCGTGCAATACCAGTTGTTCAATATACATATATGTATGTGTACAAATATACATATGCATATGTATATACACTAGAACCACGCGCGCGCTTCGCGCGCGCAGGTTCTAGCACGCTCTACCTCTAGTCCGAAATCTTCAGCATCGGAGGACATGTATTGCCACACGGATCGTGCCCCTCAGGGAGCTTCACCTGCGGCCCCAAAGACAGGCTTGGCTCAGCGTCCCCCCGCCCATGTCGGCACACGACGACGACGACAGGACGACGACAGGACGACGACGACGCCGACGACGACAGGACGACGACGACGACGCCGACGACGGCGACGGCGACGGCGACGGCGACGGCCACGGCGACGGCGATAGCAACGGCGACGGCGACGGCGACGGCGACGGCGACGGCGACGGCGACGGCGACAGCGACGGCGACGGCGACGGCGACGACGACGACGACGACGACGACGACGACGACGACCACCACACCCTCACGACCACGTGGAGGTCCACCTCCTGGCCGAACCAAACCCCTCCGAGGAGGAGGAGGAGGAGGAGGAAGGTGGGGGGAAGAAGGATGGGCATGAGAAGCAGGAAGCGGAGCTCGCCCGCTCCTATGCTGTGCAGAATCCCGTGAGACTTGAGGGAGAGGGAGGAAAAGGAGGAAGAGGAGGACGATGACGACGACGGCGAGGAGAATGTAGAGAAGGGACTGCGCGCCGCAGAGAGGAGAACACCCAGGAGGCCTGTTGGGCCGTCTTGTGAAGCGTCGGGAACCCGAAAAGGCGAGGGCGCGCCAATCATGGGAGAAAATGAGGGACGACAACAGAAAAACGATATGGGAGATCCATGTCGTTTGGACCCTGGAGCGGTCGGAGGGCTGCCTGAGGGGCGCGTCCTGTCGGAGCCTCTGGCGGCGCGTGGGACCCCTCGCCGGCTCGGGAAGCCCCCAGGGGGGGGGGAGTCCGGGGGGCGTCCTCTGGTCTTTCTGGAGCGGCCTCGGGCCGCGCAGGGAGGGCCGGAGAGCCCGGGAACCCAAAGTCTCACAGCTCCCGGGGCTCCTGGCATGCCACTGGGCTCCGCCGCGGCTTCACGCATGACTTTTGCAAACCCAAGAAGGCCCCAAGACGGGCCAAGAGGACGACCCCAGGAGGCCCCCAAGACGCTCCAAGAGGGCCCTGAGTCGCCAAAGGATCGCTCCAAGAAGTCCGAGATGCCCTCAAGATAGCCCAACAGGCCTCAAAGACGCCTCCAGAAGCATCAGAGGCCTCCCAGGAGGGCCCCAAGAGGCAATCATCATTGATTTCCCCTAGGTGTTTGAAGGATTTTGGCGTTCTCACCTTTTCGGCTTTCCAACGCTCCATAACGGCCCAAACGGCCCCTAAAACCACCCCAGAACGGCCAAAGGCGAAAGCAGTTCCCAAGAGAGCCTCCAAGACGGCCTAAGAGGGCCCCCAGACGGCCCAAGAGGCGCCCAAGACGGCCCAAGAGGGCCCCAAGACGGCCCCAAGAGGGACCCAAGAGAGGGAACGCGAACCGAAGAATCGAGCTTTCCGACCCAAAAGGCCCACAGGAGGTCACAGGAACCCAACATAAATTGTGCAAAATGTATGGTTACATCTGCGTGGCGCACTACGGGGTGCAATATATGTGGGGCCGTTATTTTGGTGTCATAGATGCGGTGCACTCTACGTTGGTCAATCTATGTTGTGCAATCTACGTGGTACACTCTACCTGGTGCACTCTATGTGGTGCGCAATACATGTGGTGCACTCTACGTGGTGCAATCTATGTGGTTCAATCTATGTGGCGGCGACGGAAAAAACATGACCGCCAAACCGACCCCGAGGCCCAGACGACGGGCGGCGACGAGGCGGCGACGGGGCGGCGACGGGGTGACGACGGCGACGACATAGCCGCCAGACCGACCCCCACGCCCAGTTCCATGCTCCAGAAGTAAAAAACCCTAAACCCAAGTACTTTTCGGCGGCGACCGAGGGGTGGAATGAGAAAGGAGACGGCCTTCTCAGAAGGCGGCGGGACTTCTCAAGGACCCGCGCGCCTCCTGGAAAGATGTCTGCGTCCTTCGGGGAAGGCTTAGAAAGCCTCTCGGAAGGCCCAGGGGGGCTTCCGAGCCATCTGAGAGGGCCCGCCCCGTCTCGCTTCCCCCCCGTGCTCGCCGCCGATCTTTGGGGAGGGTGGACGGCGAGTCCTTCGCAGAGCGGGCCCTCGCCTGCGCGGCCCGGCCCTCAGGGGCGCTCGACCTTCCAGGGGCGCGCTAGGCCCTGCCTCCCGCCTCCCCCCCCCCCCCGCCACGGCCTGTCTTTCGGGCGCCCCTGGCGGGTGTACACCTGGACGTACAGCTTCGACTCCAGGGTGTCCCACCGCACCTCGAAGTCGTCCGACACCTGATGAGGAGGAGAGCGACGACGGCGACGGCGAGGGCGAGCAGGGCAGGGTGGGCGAGGAGGACGACGATGACGAAGACAAGGGCGAGAGAGACGGAGCGGACGAGGAGGAGGACCACGACGACGACCAGAAGGACGGACGATTACGACGACATCTTTGCCAGAAGCAGCTGGCATGCCAAACTCCATCACCGAGGCACGAAGATTGAAACAGGGAAAACGAGACCCAAAATAGGGTCGGGAGAATCTGGCCGCAAGTCCCAATTCTTCGTTCCCCGACGGGGAGGCAGCAATTTCCGCACTCTAATGATGGCAGTGTAATGGGCTTCAGTGAGAGAGAAGAGGCCGAACCGAGCGCTTTCGCACTCCTGAATCAGGAGCTTCGGGGGGGCCCTCTGCATACCGACCACAAATCTCACAGAAGACAAAACGGCTCCTCTGCCAAAAGTCACGAGAGCTGTACAAGACATGGCCACGCCACCCTTGGCCCACGAAACGCGCGGGGGGGTCACGCCAGCCGATACAACGGAAATACTGCTCGTCGAATGGCGGCAATAATCCAGACCCTCGAGGCAGGCGAATCGCCAAACGAGCGGGGGCCGCGGACAGGGATGCAAGGGTGCTCGAAGGGGCCGAGCACCTCGAGCGCAGACGAAGGAGGACACTCTGCTGAGTCCTGAAAACGGTTTTGCCGCAGAAGGTCCAGCTCCAATCACGAGGGAAATCACGCCAAACATGGTTGCAGCTGTCCTTTGCCTTCTGCACCACCGCTGCGCGCGTTTGGACCCCCCGGGACACGCTCTGGCTTCACCTATCTGTCGGGATCCATGAGCACAGCAGCGGCGGCAATGGCAAGAGAGGCACGGCGAAGCAAGATCGCTTCGGCCTCCCCCACGAAGGCGAGAGCCCGATCTGCTATCGGGTCGGGCACGTGGGCGCGCGAAGCGCGCTCTTCGGCCAAGCCGTCCACCACCGCGTTCACGTGGATGCAACCTTCATGGACCGAGGCGCCGACACGAGCTCGCTTGGCCTCGCCCTCGTCAGATGGGAGGGGACGTGCACGAGGGCGAGCTGGGCCGAGCGAGCATCAGCCAGCCCCCAGGACTCAGACCAGAGGTCTGCATTCTCGAGCTTTACGGAGTGGTGGCGGCCTAGAACATGGGCCCGAACATGATTCGCATGGCCCTAGAGAATCGCGTTATCTTCATCCTGGCGGACAGCCCTGAGCACTTCGATCAACCAGAAACTCCGCACTATAAGCACCGTCTCCTGTGGACTGCCCACCTGGCCCGCGCACCCCGAGCCCCAAGACAGGGGGCTCACAGAGGCCGGGCGAACGAAGCCCTGGGCGGCGCGACAGGGCACCGGCCGCCTGCGACGTCGGCCCCCCGATCCACCGGCCGCATAAACCCCCCCGTCGGAGGGGGGGCGCGCGCGCGAGACTGGACGCGGAACCACTCTAGCTGGCGGGCTTCAGGAGAGGGGGGGGCGCAAGCCACGAGGGGGGAGCCCGCGGAGCCGGTAGATCGGGGACTGGCCCACTTGGCCCAGAAGCACGCCGGGCCAGGTGACTGGCCCCGACGACGAATTCGGATGGAGGCCCGACCCCAACCATCGCAGCCCACTCCTAGGAGGAAGCATTACATGAACACCGCTAACAGCGGTGCACACTGGTTTCTGGAGAACGCTTACATCGCTGGCACAAACCATCCGCCCGATAGCCTGCAAGGCAACGTCTGGGTTCCGCCGCAAGAATTCCCACTGGCCACCAGACGGACCATGCTTGCTAGAGCAGGCGGCTTTCCCTAACCTCTCGGCGAGCGAAGCAGCACGTTGAAACCACACCCCGCCCTCTCCGCCCGCCCCAGCCAGATGCTTGGAGGCCTGGATCCAGGCTCGAGATTCGATCGCCACCTCGAGAGCGTCTAGAAGCCCGGTGGGAGGAGAAGCTCCTCGGTCAAGCAGCCCCCATTCGAAGCCTCCAGGCTCACACAGAGAGTCGAGGGCAAGACAGTCCCACCCGAGAAAGGCAAGAGACGCCTGGCAGCCCCCCAAAGGCCCACGGACCCAGTACCAGCCCCTGGCGGCGCGCGAGAGGGGCGCGCCCCAGCGCCCCCGGATTCTCTCGGCGAGGCCAGGCACAGCAACAGACCAGAGCAAACCAGCCGCCGATAGGTTTGCGAATATCCTGGACCCACGGGTTCCAACCAACACCCTGATCCGCACCAGCGGCGCCCGACCCTCTCCAGGGACATTCACTGCCCAGACGAGCCCGGCCACGCAACTGTCTCAAGTGGGGGGGCCAGCCCGCGGCCCTCTGGAGCCCAAGCAGCCCTGGGGGTGCCGCCGGCGTTATACAATGATCCGGACTTGGGGCGAGTCTTGGCCAGATTCCAATTTTCGAGAGCAGCCCTGCGACCCGCTGAAAATGCGGTGGCCACGGATATCAACAGATCCGGCAGCGCCAGACGTCGCGTCGCGGCCGACATCCCTGGCCGACCGGACCGGCGAAAGTTGGGAATCCCCCCCCCCGCCTCGGCCGCCACGGCATTCAACCTCGATCGCACCGCAGCAGAGGAGGACATATGAGCGCGCTCCTTGACCGAGAAGACGCGGCGCCGACGACCGAGCCCATCGAGCGAGGCGCGATGCGCAACTGGGAAGACTACACTGACAGAATATGTCACGCCGACGATCCCGAATGCAAGGTCGTCGATCCACGCGCGCAAGTACGAGCCCAGGCCCATGGGCGAGGTTTGCTGCGAAGGGTCGGATAAGAAGGTTCGGGCGCGGGAGACTGCCAGCCCACGCCCCGCGAGAATGCCGCCCCTTGGCACCAGGCCCGGATGGGCCATCTTCTAGCGGGCGAGGAGGCGAGGAGGCGAGGACCGAGGCGAACGCCAAGGGCGAGGACCAGGAGGCGGAGGGGGGGCCCAACGCATGGGTCGCGATAGCGAGGTCGGGCAGGCAAACCAAGCCGCAGAACGCGCGCACATCCAAAAGGCAACCCGCCAAGAAGAACACCCCCCCAAACAACGCTAACTCCCATTCCAACTCATCAATCCAGCCAGCGCGCCCATCTGAGCTGCCCACCGCCATGCCCCAGGAGCCGCGGCCGGACCGACCCCGCGCTCTGGCCATTGGCTTGCGGATGCGGCACAGCAGGACACAAGGGCAAAAATCCCCACCCCCCTTGTCAAGCGAACAGATCATGTTAAAGAGCCCATAGCATGGCACTGTTGCGCCACCCCCCACGCCAGCGAGAGGAGCTGCAACGGCGACGCGACACACAGGGGGGTCACCCTTGACCAGGCGAGGAGGCAGACCATCCAAACCACGACCCCGCCTGTCGGGGATCGAACGAAGAGCTGCCCCACATGGCCAGCTGCGCAGGGGACATGGGCTCCGAACTCGGAGCAGCACGTCTCCACGAGGCGAGGGCCGAAAGAGCCCCTGTCCTGCTGCGGCGGCCCTGGAGAAGCTCTGCAGGAGTGGTAGCTGCATGGGTGCCCCATAAAGCAGGGCCCCGCACGAGGCCCCATGGGACTCTCGGGGGGGGCCCGGGCAGGGGCGGCAGACCTCTGCAAGGCTTCGCCAGGCCAGACATTCCAGCGAGATCAACCTGCACCCGCAGCTACGTCGGAAACGCGCCAGAAGCCAAATCCACCTCGATAGAACGGCCGCCCCCTGGGCGCCAGATGGGCGGAGAGCTCCCGGACGAACGGGCACCTCGAGAGCTCTGACCTGGCCCCGGAACTAGACGGCGCGAAGTGGGCGAGGCCCCATAGACCCCCCTGGGCCAGCCCTGGGGCCCACCAGGCGCCTCGGAATAGCTAACTGGGAAGCGAGGGCAGGCCAAAAACACAACTGAAAGGGGGGCCTCGGAGGCATTGGGGGCCGGTGGAAAATTCCTAGTGCGAGGCGCCTGGCACCTACCTACACTGAGGATCCGCCCAGCCCATGGCAGACCTTGCGCGGCGCGCGCGACCACCTCGAGCGCGCGCGCCCCGACAGAGAGAGAGAGAGAGAGAGAGAGAGAGAGAGAGAGAAAGAGAGAGAGAGAGAGAGAGAGAGAGAGAGAGAGAGAGAGAGAGAGAGAGAGAGAGAGAGAGAGAGAGAGAGAGAGAGAGCGACCAAGGTCGACGGCCGACCGCGCTACTCGCAAACAACACTGGCCGCCGGAAGATTTGACATGCTCGGCGCTCAGCAGAGACCGAGCGCGCAGCGCAGCGTCGCCCTCCAGCAGCGCCCACGACTTGCTGAGGCCAGTCTGGACGTCCAAAGCCTTGGGCGCCATCACTCGGAGCCCCTCGACGAGCCCCGGCGCCGCCTTCAGCTCGAACTTGAACGCCAAGCGCGTGCCCCACGGAACCGAGGCGCCCTGGCCGTCGAAGCGAACGGCGTCGGCGAAGTCGCTGGACACCAAGCCGAAGTCGATCTTACTAGACGCATCTCGCCTTCCACCACAAGTAAATGCCAAGTCCACAGTAATCTCGCAAAGACCCAACCTGCTACGAAACTTGAAGCTGACTATGTCTTCGACAGGAATTCTCCAATCGCCTATTATCAAGACTGGGCCAGCCACCTGGCTGACTCGCACCCCTAGCCAGGACAGCACTTCAAGACTCCTGCCGTCAAGGCCAGCGCCTGAGACAAGGCACACAAGGACCAGGGCGATGACAACGCGTCGACGGAGAAGGGCGACCAGGCACCATCGAGAGCAAGCGCCCCTCTATCATCCACCAGAAATTCCAACGACAAACTAGAAAGCCCAAGGTGGGAGCGGGCGAGCACGGTCACTCCAGCAGAGGAAAAGTCACCGCCCGCGCCGTCAGCAGCCCCAACCACCGCCTTCCACACGAGGCGGCGCATAGACATTTGCAGCTTCACCTATCCAGGACCAAGAGCACGGGTCTCAGCGAGCAAGCGCTCCGGTTGAGAACCCCACTGGGAGATGCTTCCACAGGTGACCTTCAGGGGCTTCGGAGTCACGCATGCCCGAACTCTCTTCTGCTCGACGGGCTTGGCCGCCTTGCTACGGATTGCCCGCGTCAGCAGGCGCATCGGCCCCGCCAGCCGCGGCGCCACAGGCGCCTGCCGCTGCCTCCTTCCTGGCGGCCCCCCTCGCAGCGCGCGCCTCGGCGGCCTCTCGGGCGGCCCGAGAGGCGGCGCCCTCCAGCAGGGGAAGCGGCCGGGTCTGGGCCGCAGCGGGCGCAGCTCCTGGAGCCGCGCCGCCGCGTGGAGAAGCAGCGGCCGTGGGCGCAGCTGGCTCAGCGCCTGCCTTCGTCGGTTTCGCGTTTCTTCTTAAGCTGGTCGAACTTGAGCTCACGCTCCATGAGCAACTCCTGCGTCTGCTCGCGTGCTGCAGCGGAAGCCATGCCCAGAAGCTGGCCTGCCTTCTCTTCACGCTGCGCGGAAGAGTCGGCCAGCCGCTCGCGCTCCTCATCAGAGCAGATGTCAATGTCACTCGACAGATCCAGGCCCTCTCCCACGTCGGGCGAGAGAGAGGACGTTTCGGCCAGCAACGCCTCGATATTGACAAACGATTTCTTGGCGGAGGCCTCCTCGCGGGGGTTCACACGCTGCGCCATGCGGCGCGCAGCATCCTCGACCTTCTTCTTGGCAGCCCGCTCCTCGCGCAGAGCCGCGCCCACCTGGTTTTGAGCCTCCTTGAGCATGGCCTCGACACGCACCTGGTGCTCGAGGGCCTGGGCGAATTTGTTGGAGGCCGTGATCTGGCGACCCTCAGCTGCCTGCACCTCCGTGCCCTGACCCTGCTTCTGAGCGGGGAACGCATGCTTCTTGATGCTGAACTCGTCCAGCAAATCTTACGCTTTGACAGGCGGCAGATTTGCGGCGGCCTTCTGCAAGACGGCGAGCTGGGGGGCAGCCATGGCAGGCTTGCCCGCGGCTGCTGAGGCGCCTCCAACTGCACCGCCCCCAGCGCCGCCCCCTCCGCCTCCGAAGCCGGGGACATCACAGCCTGAGACGAGATCGGTTCCAATCCAATGCCCGCAAGGGCAATAAGTCGGGGATGGACAGAACCCCCTTTGGTAAAACGTGGTTTAGTGAAAACGACCTGGGGCCCAAACCTGGCGGGCGCAAGCCTGGAAAATGACGGCCGCAGAGCGCTCTCGAGAACCGAAAACGGACAATTCACTAATCGACGTGTCAGTGTGGGGGTTCTGTCCAACCCCGAACGCTTTTTGAGAGGAAGATCACAAGTCCAATGCCCGCAAGGGCCATAAGCGCAATGCTCCTTCTTGCGGCGGCGCACATGGACAGGGATCCACGAGCCGTCGGGCGGCGCAGGCGGCGCGAATGCGGCGCGCACCCACGGGTCGTAGGTGAACCAGCCTCTCGGGGCTTGCCGTTGCTGAGGAAGGGTTGAGGACGACGACGACGACCACCACCACCACCACGACGACGACGACGACCACCACCACCACCACCACGACGACGACGACCACGTCGACGACGACGACGACGACGACGACGACGACGACGACGACGACGACGACGACGACGAGCTGTCGCCGACGATCGGCTCAGCAGGACGGCTCGCGCAGGAGTATCACGCCGCGAGGGCGAGCTCGACGAGGATGGCGAGGGGCACGAAGAGGACGAAGCCGAGGGCGAGAAGCACCAGGGCGAGGAGGAGAAGGACGAAATCGAGAACGGCGGCGACGAGAACGACGAGGACGACGCCGAGGGTGAGAAGGAGCAGGCCCCGACGAGCGACCCCGAGCGCGACGAGGACAAGGACGGGGAGGACAGACGACGAGGACGGAGGGGGGACCATGCTGGATTTGCGAACCGGCGCAAGGATCTGGTCCACGCTCTTTAGCAGCTCATCGTACGACGGGTCCACGAAGTCCGCCATGTCGCTCACGAGGCCGGCCTTTCGGGCCAGACAAGGACACCACCTCCCAATGCAGCAGCTGCACGGATGGAGGGAGGTGGCTTTCAAAATGCGGTCAGTTATGTACGAGAATGGAGAGAGGTCATTGGAGAATGCGGCTCTCGCCTTAGCGCCGCGAACATTCGCTTAAAAAGTCTCTACCAGCTGCAAAGACGGAGGCCAGCTGGTTTTAAAAATGTGGCTCTCGAAAAAACGGTCCTCAAATGGGCCCCGAATTCCTTCCTGCGTAACAATTACACGGAGGGGGCGGTTCATGTTTCTAGTTCGGTTTCTGCTTGAGTCTTCCAGAAATTTCACGGGTGAGAAGCGTATCCTCTCATCCTACCTCTGTGGATTCAGCCTGTGAACTAGAAAGATGGAGGTGGATCCTTTACAAAATTGGGTCTCGGCTGAGTGGCTGGCCTTCCAGACCCTCATGATCTTTGGGTGCGCTCCCAATAGTGGAAGGAAATTATTGCACAAACGTATGAAGGGGGGGACGTGGGCCGGGAGGATGTATTGCAGCATGGCTGACGCATACTGGGTTTAGTCCTGTCCTCCTCCTTCCTCCTCCTCCTCCTCCTCCTCCTCCTCCTCCTCCTCCTCCTCCTCCTCCTCCTCCTCCTCCTCCCCCTCCTCCTCCTACTCCTCCTACTGCTTCTCCTCCTCCTCCCCTCCTCCTCCTCCTCCTCCTCCTCCTCCTCCTCCCTCCTCCTCCACCTCCTCCTCCTCCTCCTCCTCCTCCTCCTCCTCCTCCTCCTCCTCCTCCTCCTCCTCCTCCTCCTCCCTCCTCCTCCTCCTCCTCCTCCTCCTCCTCCTCCTCCTCTCCTCCCCTCCTCCTCCTCCTCCTCCTCCACTCCCCTCCTCCTCCTCCTCCTCCTCCTCCTCCTCCTTCCTCCTCCTCCTCCTCCTCCTCCTCCTCCCTCCTCCTCCTCCTCCTCCTCCTCCCCTTCCTCCCCCTCCTCCTCCTCCTCCTTCCTCCTCCTCCTCCTCCTCCTCCCTCCTCCTCCTCCTCCTCCTCCTCCTCCTCCTCCTCCTCCTCCTCCTCCGCCTCCTGCCCATCCTCCTTCCCGAGAAGGGGCAGGGGGAATGGGGGGGCGTGAGGATCGGCCACATCTTTGCGTGCCTGCCCACCCGCGCATCCCCTCCGCAGCCAGCAACTACAGAACTGGTTTGCAACACAGGCTGTGAGAGACAAAAGGCAGAGCAACACGTCATCGCCGTCGTCGCCATTGCCGCCATCAAGGGCACGGCAGGGGCCTCGCCGTCGTCGCCGCCATAGAGGCCCGCGCCGCCACGGCCCTCCGTCGCCGCCGCCGCCGTTCTCGCCGCCGCCGCCGTCGACGACGACGTCTCGCCGAGGAGTCTCACCGCGGCGTCTCGCCGCCGCAGCGGCCGCGGCCAGCTGTGCCGCCGCTGCCGCCGGCGGCGCCTCTCCGAGCGCCTCCTCCGCCTCGCTCAGCTTGCGCAACGCGGCCTTTGCGTCCGCGATCGCCTGCTCCACCGCGAGGCGCCAGGGCTCCGGCTCCCGCGGCGACACGGGCGGCGCAGCGTCCGCGATGCTCGTGCAGTAGTATCGCAGCAGCGGCCTCCGCCCCGCCCCGCGTCAAGCGCGTCCTCCTCCTCCTCCTCCGCCTCATCCTCCTCCTCCTCCTCCTCCTCCTCCACCTCCTCCTCCTCCTCCTCCTCCTCCTCCTCCTCCTCCTCCTTCTCCTCCTCCTCCTCCTCCTCCCCCTCCTCCTCCACCTCCTCCTCCTCCTCCTCCTCCACCTCCTCCTCCTCCTCCTCCTCCCACCTCCTCTCCTCCTCCTCATCCTCCTCCTCCTCCCTCCTCCTCCTCTCCTCCTCCTCCTCTCCTCCTCCTCCTCCTCCTCCTCTCCTCCTCCTCCTCCTCCTCCTCCTCGCTCCTCCTCCTCCTCCTCCTCCTCCTCCTCCTCCTCTCCTCCTCCTTTCCCTCCTCCTCCTCCTCCTCCTCCTCCTCCTCCTCCTCCTCCTCCTCCTCTCCTCCTCCTCCCTTCTCCTCCCCCTCCTCCTCCCCCTCCTCCTCTCCTCCTCCTCCTCCTCCTCCTCCTCCTCCTTCCTCCTCATCATCATCATCATCATCATCATCATCATCATCATCATCATCATCATCATCAGCATCATCATCATCATCATCATCATCATCATCATCATCATCATCATCATCATCATCATCATCATCAGCAGCAGCAGCATCATCATCATCATCATCATCCTCATCCTCATCATCATCATCATCATCATCATCATCATCATCTCATCCTCATCCTCATCCTCATCCTCATCCTCATCCTCATCCTCATCCTGATCCTCATCATCAGCAGCGGCAGCATCATCAACATCATCATCATCATCAGCAGCAGCAGCATCATCAACAACATCATCAGCATCATCAGCATCAGCAGCAGCAGTATCATCATCATCATCATCATCATCATCATCATCATCATCATCATCATCATCATCGTCATCATCCTCATCATCAGCAGCAGCAGCGGCAGCATCATCATCAGCATCATCATATCATCATAACATCATCAGCATCATCATCATCATCATCATCATCATCATCATCATCAGCATCAGCATCATCATCATCATCATCACCATCATCACCATCATAATGATAATCAGCATCATCAGCATCATCATGGTCATCATAATTATCATCATCATCATCATCATCAGCATCATCATCATCATCATCATCATCATCACCATCATCGTCATCATCATCAGCTACATCATCATCAACAGCAACAACATCGTCACCAGCGTCATCATCATCAGTATCATCATCATCAGCATCCTCATCATAATCATCATCATCATCATCATCATCATCATCAGTATCAACATCATCAGCATCACCATCATCAGCATCTCCACCGTCAGCATCATCATCAGCATCATATTCATCACCATCATCAGTACGTCATCAGCATCATCATCCGCATCATTCACATCAGCATCAGCATCATAATCATAATATTCATCCTCAGCCTGATCATCACACTCATCATCATCATCATTATCATCATCCTCACCATCATCATCAGCACCATCATCACCATCATCATCATCATAATCAGCATCATCATCATCACCATCACCATCACCATCACCATCATTATCATCATCATCATCATCATCATCATCATAATCACCATGTGTTTCCTCCTCATCCTCCTCGTCCTCGTCCTCGTCCTCTTCCTCCCCCTGCTCCTCCTCGTCCTCCTCCTCCTCGTCCTACTCCTCCTCATCATCATCAGCATCAGCATCGTGATCATCATCGTCATCAGCATCATCATCACCCTCAACGACGACAACTGCTCCCGCCAGATAGTTCCTCGCAGTTTGCTCCGAGACGCCCTGGGTCTAGAAGAAGCCCACAAACTTAGAATTTGTTATCCCTCGATCGAGACTTCCTGGCAACTCCGCCAGGTCGGTGAAAGCACACCTATAGCAACAACGATTCCCGCTCGATGCGCCCTCGCGATTTACTCCGAGACGCCGTGGCCACAGAAACGCCACAGCTCAGGACTGACGCGCTGTAGCGGTCGTCTTCACGATGACAACACCAACTCCTCCTCCTCCTCCTCATCATCATCATGATCAGCATCATCATCATCATCATCATCATCATAATCATCATCATCATCATCATCATCATCATCATCATCATCATCATCATCATCATCATCAGCATCAGCGTCATCATCACCATCATCCTCATCCTCCTCCTCTTCATCATCATCAGCATCATCAGCATCATCATCACCATCTCCAGTATCCTCATCATCACTATGTGATTCCTCCTCATTCTCCTCGTCCTCGTCCCTTTCCTCCTCCTGCACATCCTCCTCCAACTCGTCCTCTCCTCCTCCTCCTCGTCCTCCTCCTCCTCCCACTCCTCCTCCTCCTCCTGCTCCTCCTCCCACTCCTCCTCCTCCTCCTGCTCCTCCTCCTCTTCCTCCTCCTCTTCTCCTCCCTTTCGTCTGGGTGTCATCCTCCGCCTCCTCCTCCTCCTTCTCCGCCTCCTCCTCCTCCTCCTCCTCCTCCCTCCCTCCCTCCCTTCCTCCCTCCCTCATTCCCTCCCTCCCTTCCTCCCTCCCTCCCTCCCTCCGTACCTCATAATTATCACTCCCCCTCCTCCGACTTCTAAAGATGGAAAGGTCCATGAAGACCACCCAGCATCAACAGGATTATGCCTACATCCAAGGCATCATAACTACACCATACTTACCCATGTTCCCTTTCTCCCTCCTCGTCCTCCTCCACCCCATCCTCCTCATCCTGTCTCTTCCTCTTCCCATTCCCCTTCCTCCTCCTCCTCCTCCTCCTCCTCCTCCTCTCCTCCTCTTCTTCCTCTCCTCCTCTTCCTCCCCTCCTCATCATCGTCATCCTCCTGTTTCTCCTCCTCCTTTTCCTGCTCCTCCTCCTCCTCCTCCTCTTCCCACTCCTCCCCCTCCTCATGCTCCTCCCCCTCCTCCTCCTGCTCCTGGTCCTCCCCCTCCGTTTCCTCATCTTCCACCTTTTCGTCCACCTCCCGTCGCCTCATTTCTCCTCTTCCTCCTCTTCCTCCTCCCCCTCATCATCATCACCACCACCACCACCACCATCATCATCATCATCATCATCATCATCATCATCACCACCAACACCACCATCAGCATCATCATCATCAGCATCATCATCATCATCATCATCAGCATCAGTATCAGTTTCAGTACCATCATCCTCATCATCATCATCATCATCATCATCATCATCATCATCATCATCATCATCAGCGTCATCATCATCATCATCATCATCATCATCATCATCATCATCATCATCATCATCACGATCATCACCACCATCATCACCACCATCATCACCATAATCATCATCATCATCATCATCACCACCATCATCACCATAATTATCATCATCATCATCAGCAGCAGCAGCAGCAGCAGAACAGCAACAACATCATCAGCATCGTTACCATCAACATCAGCAGCATCATCATCACCATCATCATCATCACCATCATCATCATCATCATCGCCAGCATCATCATCAGAATCACGATTGTCCTCCTTCTCCTCCTCCTCCTCCTCCCTCTCCTCCTCCTCCTCCTCCTCCTCCTCCTCCTCCTCCTGCTCCTCCTTCGCCTCCTCCTCCTCCTCTTCCTCCTCCTCCCCTCCCCTTACACGCACACAGACAAACAGACAGACAGACGGACAGACAGACAGACAGGCAGGCAGGCAGGCAGGCACACAGACAGACAGACAGACAGACAGACAGACAGACAGACAGACAGACAGAGAGACACACACACACACACACACACATACACACACACACAGACACACATTTGTTTGGTTGCGTCGGTGGCTGGACAGAGAAAAACTCCAGAGGGTCTATAATAAACCCACGGGCAAGAAAGGGAAACTAATGTATAATACAAGGCTACGCGTGATTTGGCAAGCCTGTGCCAGAATTGCTAGGGATCACCTATTCATGATTCCACGAGGCCGTCGCTGGCATAACAGGGGAGGGCCCAGCCGGAGGCATGCTTTCTGGCGATCGGGTCTGGCGCCCCTGAGCCCTTTCGTTGTGATTCCAGAAGAGTAGCACGATAAAATGCGCACAGTTGCACACATCAGCGATTCGAGTTTCTACCGGGGGAGGGGGGGGGGCGCCGGCCCCTGTAGTTCGTCCGATCGATTGAAGCAGGTGCCAAAATCAGCCCGGAACTTCTCTACGGGGGGGGGGGAGGGGGGGGGGAGGGGCGTTCCGCCGAAAGCAAAAACAAATAATAAAAGAATGCTCACATTGCTCGGCGGGCTTATTGGAGGATTGGGACCCCAACAATAAGTGGACATTAATTACTATTTCCCGTCGGCGGCCGCGCGGAGGCCTGAGAGGTCAAGAGAAGTGCTGTCCTGTCTGGGGGGAAGAAGAAGAAGAAGAAGAAGAAGAAGAAGAAGAAGAAGAAGAAGAAGAAGAAGAGGACCGAGGAAGAGGGGAGGGGGAGGGAGGCACACACGAAACACACCACACCACCACACAGGGAAGAGAAGGAGAGGAACGAGGAGGAGGGACGAGTTTATTTTCCCCGTCGAGAGCTAAGGAGGGGGGGGAGCATCATCAAAGACCCTCTGCGGTTACTTCTCCGGCGATGTGGCACTAGCAGGGCGCACAAAATGAAAGTTGGGCCGCGGTGCGCACGAGAAAGAGAAAGGGAGCCCAGCGCGGGCGGATGAGAGAGGAAGCCGGGCCCACTCAGGCAAGTCCCGGCGGCGGCAGGGCGGGCGCCGGGGTGGGGAACCAACGGCGGCGCCGGGGCAGCAGCTGGGGGGGAGGCAGCCCCAGGCCCAGGGGGGGAAACATGTTGAAATGCGAAGCGGCTGAGCACTGAGATTTTCTGACCTTCCAAGCGCCTGAACAGCCAACGATGGCCACACCAGATGGGGAGCCCGACACGTTGAACAGCGCTGCGGCTGCGCACTGAGACCTTCTGACCTGCCAAGTGACTGATCAGCCGAGATGACCACACCATAATGGGGGTGCTGCG